TGGTGATGAGGATGACGATGATGCTGATGGCGGTGATAATGATAACGATGATGATGCTGATGATGATGGCGATGAATAATTACAATGTGAAAACATTTGGATTGATTGAATGCTTGCACCTGCAATTAGTATTATAAATGATTATTATACTGCTGAAAAAATATGATAAGGATCAAGATGATGAAGATGATTGTAACTATTGATGATGTTGTTGTTATTGTTGGTGATGTTGTTGCTGTTTAAGATGATGATGAAGATGATGGTACCGTTGTTGTTGTTGAGGATGATGATGATGATGAAGATGATGATATATAAAATGTTGTTAATGATGATGTCATTGTTGTTTTTTGTGTTTGTCATTGATGATGAAATTGATTATGATGATGATGCGTTCCAGACACGCTATGTATTAAATGACACATTATTATTATTATTATTATTATGTTAATAAATGTGCTAGTGATGATGATGAAGAAGATGATGACGATGAAGATTTAAAAATGTTTAGTAGAATTGTGAAAATAAATTAATTTTGACCAAAGCCTGAATTGAAGAACGTCAAATTGGAAACGGCCATTGTGTCAGAAACCAATGAACAACAACAACCGCATCAACAACAACAACCACATTGTCAGGATTTACAACAAGAACAACAACGACAACCAAATGATCATCATTATCAGGATCATCATCAACAAGAACAACAACAGCAACAAAATCAAGAAGATGATTATCATGATAATGAGCAACAACATCAGCAACTACATGACACCCATGAAGAACAGAAATCTTTCAATCACTTAGACCAGGATTTCTACCTGACTGAACATCAACAACAACTGGGTTCCATTGATTCTTCCTCCATCTGCGAACGAGAAAATTCCACTCACTCCATCAGCTCGATTGATGCAGGTCGAAACGCATCGCAAAGAAGTTACAAGTCGGCCGAATATGATGCATCATCAGCGCCATCATCGGCAAAACCATCACCATCATTATCACCACTGGCTTCCTTAGCACTATCATCACCACCACCAATACAGCCATCATCATCATCAGTCAATCAGCTGTTGTCACCGTCAGCTTCGACACATTCCTATTCTTCGCTTTCCCCATCGCCTAATTCACTAATTTTTGCCGGGTCTGCCAAGGAGGCCAGGGAGAGAATGTCTAGGAAGAAGAACGTGAAAGATGTCAGTATGACACTTAAGGATAAGTACGATTTGCTTCAGAAGTTATAGATTACTGTTTGGTTGGATGATCGATTGATTAGTTGATTGAACAACTGAATGGTTAATTGATTGAACGGTTAATTGTTTGATTGGTAGGTTGAAAGGCTTTTGATCGAGTACTGAGGAAGGTCATTGAATGGGCGTTGAGGAAGAAAGGAGTGAATGAGAGACTTATTAAAGCTGTGATGCAACTGCATGAAGGGGCAAAGACAAAGATGAGGGTTGGAAGGGGGATGTCGGACGCTTTTAGTGTTAAGGTAAGAGTGCATCAAGGATCAGTGTTATCACCGTTTCTGTTTGCAATTGTGATGGATGTTGTGTGTGGAAACATAATGGAGGGATTGTTATTTGATATTTTGTATGCAGATGATTTAGTCTTGATGGCTGATAGCATGGAAGAATTGCAGTTAAAATTTGACAGATGGAAAAGTGTTATTGAAAAGAAAGGGTTAAAAGTTAATATTGGTAAGACGAAGGTAATGGTGAGTGGGGAAGGTGGGGAGCGAGTGATAAGTAAAATAGACCTCTGTGGGGTATGTGCCAGGAGAGTGAAGGCTAACTCGGTATTGTGTATAGGATGTCAGAAATGGGTGCATAAGAGATGTAGTGGTGTGAGGGGGGCACTGAAAAAGGTGGAAGGCTTGTTCAAATGTAAGAAATGTGTTCATGGTGTGATTAATAGGACGGACGCAAGGGCGGGGTTGAGTGGTGGTATTGAAAGAGTGGAAAGCTTTGTTTACTTAGGGGATAAACTGAACGCGGATGGAGGATGTTTGTGCGCAGTTACGGCTAGAGTTCGTGTGGGATGGATGAAATTTAGGGAACTGGGTGGGGTATTGTGTGGAAAGAAATGGTCAGTGAAGATGAAAGGGAGGGTATATAAAGCATGTGTGAGAGCAGCGATGGTATATGGTGGTGAAACTTGGGTGTTGAGGAGAGAGGAGGAAAGTGTACTGCAGAGGGCTGAAAGAGCTATGGTGAGGATGATGTGTGGGTTAAAGTGAAGGATAGGAGGAGTATTTCGGTTTCATCATAGGTAGCCAAACGGCAATCCCCGATCTCGGGGAAAATGTCGTCTAAACGTGTGTTGTTGTTGTATTGGTAGGTTGAATGAATGAATGGTCGATTGATTGAATGGATGATTGATTGAATGGTTGATTGGATGGGATACGGGTTGAATGTTAAATTAATTGATTGGTTGGCGGAATAAAAGTTACGTCAAATCACTTTTGGCTGATGTGAATTTTTCTCCAGACAAAACTTGAGATCTTATCTTATTATGATTATTAGTTTTTTTGTTATTATTATTGTCGTGGTTGTTGTTATTATTGTTATTAATATTGTTATCATTTGATGTTGATTTACTCATTCATTTGTTTTGTTTGTTTCTATAAATAGATATCTGAAATTTTTCCATTTCATTTTTTTCATTTTGTTTGCGAAAGATTATTTCTGTTTCACATATATATATATATATATATATATATATATATATATATATATATGTGTGTGTGTGTGTGTATATATATATGTGTTTTGGCGTGTGTGTTTGCAGATAAATACGCATATACATTAAATACAAACACATATATACAAACGCATACATAATATACGTACATACATACAAACCATCATAATTTTGGTGCCCTTGCACTCGTTTTTCATTAAATAATTTTTTCCTTATTTCTATTTTTTTCGTTTTTTTCTGTTCTATTTTGAGAAAAACATTTTTTTTTTCTAATATTTTGTATTGTTTGTTTTTTTTCTTGCACTTATATTGCATAGATTTCACATAGATATTTTTTTCCACACATTCAAAAGATATACACGTGTGTTTGTCTGTGTGTGTGCGCGTCTGTTTGTGAGTGTATGTAAGTGCATGTAATCATTGATGCTTCTAAATAAGAGCAATTAATAGATGTGATTTATTCATTTACATGTATGTATATATATATATATATAAATAAAAATTATGGTCTATTACCAACATATATATATATATATATTAATATATATATATACACATATATATATATATAGAATTTACACTACCATTTGTCTTCTTCAAAAAATTGTAAATAATAATAATAATAATAACAACCTTAATACGTATAATAAGAACAATTCCATAACTACTGCGTCTACCTTACCTTAAATCACCGCCATATTATGCATGTACAATGTACATTTGAACTTAGATAACTACGCTATTTATCGACAGTTATTTGTAGCTAGTTTTATTTTTAGCTAACGTATCACATATATACATTTATATATATATGTGTGTGTGTGTGTGTGTTAGTTTTTTCCACTACTGATAATTTTTGAATATTTTACATTTCAAAACCATCCAAGATATACATACGTATGTACTAGAATAGGGATATTTTTTTTCATTTGAAACTGTCTTTTAACTACACATACACGCACACATACATACAAACACACACATACATACAAACACACATACATACATGCACACATTCATACATACATACAATCATAATTAATAAATTGATTTACAAAAGTATAAAGGTAATGTTTTTTGACGTATATATACATATATATATATATATATAATATTGTATGAATTCTATCGAATTCTTGGCATTAATCAATTTAAAGTTTGTCTTTTCAATCGATTAATGCTTACAATTTGGTAGAACTTTTACAATACTGTAGAAAATAGGGTCTCCCTCCAACATATCTATCAATCAATACTCGTTTATAGTCTCCATCTGTTATGGGTCGGACTTTTGTATTCCAACATGTGTGTGTGTTTGTATGTATGTTTGAGAGGATGAGTGTCTGTCTGCCTAATAAAAACACTCACTCTTACACACACACACACACATATTGTAGAGCAATTAATTAATTGGTTTAATCATCTCACAACTATCACCTTCAAATGGATAATAAATCCATTTTATCTCCATGTTGTTGTCGACTTTTATTTTCAATAAATTTGTTAAGGAAACTTTCAGAAAAAAAAACTTTAAATAATAAAACTATAAATAATAAGGATGAAAATACAAATAAATATTTATGAAGAAGTACTTAAAAATATATATGAAGAAAGAGAGAGTGAGAGAAAAAAAAGGTAAATTAACAGAGAAATTTATACAATATATTTTCATTATAGCTAACTATGAAATGTTTAACCTAAATAACTAAAAAACCAGCCAAAAATTGAATCAATTCATTAATTCAAAAGTAACAAATATAATAATCTATTAAATAACAAAACATAAAATGATAAAAGATAACTTGAATGCAAATGAATAAATAATTAGCTATTCTCCATCTGGTATCGTTTTCTCTTCCTAATGTTGACGACCATGTCGGATGATGTTATCTTTTCAATTTCTCTCGACTGCCATTTTAAAAATTCTTGAGTACACTTCTGGCCACAACGATAAAGACATCTTTCGACCTGATCTAGTATCTCTTTGAATTTGTTTGCGTCCTGTTCGGATGAATTTAGGGACGTGTCTATTATTCTACAGAGTCTTTTCTGAAATGTCTGCAATAAAATTATAAAGGGAAAATAATTTATTTTATAATGAATAACAAATAAAGTAAAAAAAAGTATTTGTACATTATATGTATATATATTATCATTAGTATTTAAACAATTACTCTCACTTTTGCTCTCTTTCTCTCTCACTTTTTAACATATAAGTTCAATATTTCTATATACTTCATAAAGGTTAATTTTTATTAATATTATAATAATTATATTGTATCTATCTCATTTTTAATAAAACAGTCAATTCTAAAAAATTCAACAAAGACAAATGATAAAAAATTTGGGTGGAAAACTTCAAAGAAAAATAATTTACAGTTAATAAGCTTTTACAGATATCAACAGCTTCCAAATAGCAGCAGTTTACTAGCTGTAGCCCCAGTCGATAGTAGTGGGGTCCTAACTTGTGTAGATCGACAACTGAAGCATCTGCTGAAAAGATCTCTCTGTAGGCCGATCCATACTGCTTGGGCAAGTCGACTGTGGCGTATTGACGCTGTCGGGTTGATAGTGGCAACACTAGCCAGAGTGGGAGTTCTAATTTTGTCCCAGGGAGGATGTTTGTAGAGTCAGAACTTGTGTCCAGATAACCTATGTATGATGGGGGTGATTGTTGGTGAAATTGACTAAATAAATAATGTAAAAAAAAATAAATTTATTTAAAAAAAAAAAATAAGTAAACGTCATGATTACTCACCCATATTTGGTATCTCGGTTTCGAAGCGGCAGACGAGCCGTTCTTGCGTAGCGAGGATGTCGTCGATTTTAAAATAATTTTCATTAAAATTTTCGAAAGAGTATAAATCTAAGTAAAGCGACATTATATTTTTGACAAATAATTAAATATTTATTGCAACTGCTGTTTTATTTTATTTTAGACATAAAAAATTTTACTTTTTAAAAATCGCTCCAGATTTCATGTTTGTGAGATTAGTTTAATGTTCAGGGTTCGCTTTCTAAAAAAGAATGGTATGGTTGACAAGTAGACAAAATTTAAATTTCTATCGGAAAACCAAGCAAAACAACCATTGAATTTGTTTCATTCAGTTAAATAATACAATCTAAATTAAATAATAACAATTCTTACTTACTTTCATCATAAAAATTTTGGTTCTAAACAAATTTGAATTCAATGGAAATGAACTGCATTCGAAAAACAAGCCGCACCACACACATACACACAACAAGCCACACACCACACACACACACACGCACACACACACACACACACACACAAACGATGCATTCTTAATTCTATCTGTCTCATATTATCATGGAAATTTGACATGAACAGACAGAAAATTGTAAAAAATGAAATTTTCATTACTCGCATATCGCATCTCGTGAGAATCGACCGGTATGTATTCGTTCGGTACTCGGTTTTGACATAAATGTCTTGCTTATAATAATTAATGATTTGTAATCATATCGAGTTATGTGTGATAA